ATTCAGACTATATACTTAAATTTAGCATTAGGCATATTAATTAGTAGTACTATTAATCAAGCCGTTGCAGTTTATGTCACGTACTAAAAAAAAATGAATGGAATCAAAAAAAAATAATTCTACCAGTTGACTATGATTGACTATGCCATGTTTTATACTTACACGCAAAATTTGTGTTCTCGAACTAGCGATGAGTCCCTTTTGCTCTCTTTATCAAATCATCCTTTTTCCCGCTAAGTAATTGACCTTTAGATTGAAGGTGTGATTTCAAATCCTTTACCTTCATTGAGTCAAAAACTTTTTCAGCCTCGCTATCCATGGTAATAAACCAACTCCAACTAGACGGTCAACGAACCGGAACCAACCCAAGCGATCTTTTCTCCCCGAAAATAAAAAAAAATTTCGTTCGTGGATGTACCTAATACAATTAAGAGTTGATATTATGGTGCAGATGGGTAATATCATATTTTTGATTGTGACGTATCAAAGGGGAATAAAAAAATAAATTCAATTGCTTTTTGTTTTTTAATTTACTTCCCTTGAACATAATTGAGCCTTATTTTAGTTCAGATTCTGATGTGAAAACATGCATATGTTACGTAGCATTTATTTTTACACATCTATATGTAAATTATTAACACCTGCACTGCTATGTGCATGTTAATCATAACTGCATCTCTGTCTTGCTCCTATCCTTTGCAAAATCCACCCCCTTCAAATTATTACAAATAATTTGATAACAATTTAGCAGTTTGATCTCTTACATGAAACAGCCGTCAGAGAAGCTTCTGAAAAAAATAATTTATAATCTGGGATTTGTTTACTTTAGTTTTTATGCATAGCTTCCCCCACCCACCAATCCAAAGGTGTTTTGTTGTTTTTTTTCATCAGAAATGGAGCAATAGCCTTCTGAGAGCTCTGGCCTGCCTAACTACATCTTAACACCCAGACCGATGCATGACCTTTCGTCTTAATGCAAGGACCATCAGCTGATATTAACCCTACTAAATAAGAAATCCATTCCAGTCATGGTCTACTGATGAGACTTCTTCACCGTGTTTTCTCTCAAGATAACCACCTATTACTTCGAGAATCTTGCATTCTCTCAAGGTTTTATTTCCAGCGAATTCTTTCTTTTTTTTTTCCTTAACTTTGTATTTAACATGATAATACTGGTATATTTTACATTTGTAAGACGTCTTCATCTATCATTATTATATAAATTCACGTATAGCTTTATGTCAGGCAAGTATAAGCAATCAAAGTAACCGAAGAACAATAAATGATGTGGTACTAAATCTCATATATATTTTGCTTCTGGTCCTTCATTCTTCCTCTTCAAAACCGCCCCCCTCCCAACTCCACATATTGTATATTAAAAGAACTGAGTGAAATAAAGCTGTCAAGCAGCGAGTTTCTTGCTTGACGTCTAAACTCAGGTATATGTATATTGATTTTTTTCTTCAATGGTAGGTGACTAGTATCCGGTGTTGTTACTGTTTGTGTTCCTCTGTCACACATTCAGCTTCATGCGTACAGCGTCATCTCTATCCCGGGATCTGGCAACGACCTTATCCTATCCGTGGGTTATTTCTTGACACACATGATTGACGAAGGCAATGTGCTCTCATTACGACATAAGGCGGAAGATTTCGTTGAGACGTTAACTCTTTTCTTTTTTTGGTGACACTTGAACCCACCGGGTATTTTCTTAAAATAACCGGACTGGTAAAAAAAAACAAAGTGCTCCTGATTGAGCACCAGTAATTTTAAATTTAAAAAAAAAAAAAAAAGTATTCGTTAATTATTGTCTTACAATTGAATCCAAGTGATATCCTGAGGGCTGCGGCAGGTTGAAGTAAAAGGAAAAAGACAATAAGGTTAGGGGATACCTGCAAAAGAAAGAAAGAAAAAAAACGACCCACGTGTCAACATGTAGCCTTCGTCAGCGAATAGAGAATATGTAACACATATACTCTTGACATCATTTGTAACTTAGTGGGTTATGTCAGTAGTATGGTTACTTATGTTAATACTTCAGGATGCCAACTAAGACTTCTTCACTTATTATCCAGGCACGCAAAGAAGAATACTCAATTCTGGTTAAAACTTACAGTACTTTATTGAACACACTTTATATTGATAATATTAATAATAATCCTTGCATGAATGTAATTTCATATATATATATAGTATTATTCCATCATTCAGAAAGACACGTCCTCACACTACTACAACTCAGCTCAACTGTCTCGTAACTCAGCTCTCACTCTACTGTTCTCCACTGCTCTGCACTCAGCTCTCATTATCTCAGTCCACTCATACTTTATTACCAGCAAAGCGTGGAAAAACAACCGCTCTGACAAAAACATAATTTTACTCTCCAAAAACGTGGAGCTCACATTTGTTCTCAAAAATGCAATCCATTGATTGTCTCTCCTTGTGGAAAAACCTGGTCAACACAATTATTCACTGTTCACTCACGCTACCTCTCTGTTTTCTTGTGAAAACATAGTCCGATACAGAATACAAATTAAAAAAAAAAAAAAGAAAAAATAAAACTTATCTAAGGTTGTGTCCCAGACAGCTGCAAGGTTTGTCAACAAATAGTCTCAATGTGGACGTACCCCAAATGTAATGAACAATTGATTTAGGGTAAATCGTCATGACGCATTTTGTTTATAAATAAAGTAATAGTTTACGTATGTGTGTGTGGTTTGGTTTGGGAGTTGAAAGGTCATTGTTCTTAAGCATAATGGGGTATGCAATAGGGATAAGAGGGATTGAAAGATAACTTCTTCGCTTTCGTAATAGATGGATTGCCCCAGAAGGTAATCGATTCTAAAGTTCCCCTACTTAAAAGAAATATTAAATAACATAAATTCGCACAGCACTAGCTGCTATTTATAATTTTATAACATTACTATAAGCGTAATATGTATGCTTATTTCATCACTTTATTGTTTTTCTTATCTGTAGTGTAGTATTGGCACTTCCTTTTAGAAAGCACTAAATATGCCAGGGCCCCAGGAAGTGTAATATTACCAATGTTTAAATCATTTGTTTGAAATAGAGTTTAGATAAAGGGCTATTATTCTTTTATGTCTTAAAACATTGTGCGACCAGCTAGTTTATCAAGAAAGAAAAAGATCCTGAGAGGATATTTATAATTGGTCTTTTTTTTCTCCAAAAAGTAAACTTAGTGTGTATTCTCTTTTCGCTTTGTAAAAGGAAGAAGAAAACAAAAGTGTAGTGCAGTGGCGTAGTTGGGTTTCGGGACACTTTGTCAAACATTGACAGAAATTATTTGCTCAAAACTTTCTTTAAATTTACTTATAATATGAAAACTAAAAAACATGAACAAATATTAAAAATTGTAGTCAAATATCTATTTTTTAAAGCAAAATAATTTCTTTAGTCTAATATTTTTGAAAGATAAAAATAATTATTAATTTTTTTTTTTTATTCATTTGTAATATAAATTCGTACCTATTGTTTTCAAAATATTATTGTTTCATTTTGTTCCACATTTGGAAAGCATAAAAAGAAAATATATTATTATTTCGTGTGCACGCGTACTTCTGCACGCGTACTTCCTAAATTATTAGTTACGAGGTCTTAACCGGGTGAAGTTGTTTTTAGACGTGGTCCATTTATTTCTTTTTTAGAAAATAGCCAGTGAGTCCAGAAAAAAAATGATTTTGTTTGTCATTTTCTATTAACTATATGCATACAGATTTACAACCTACCTGTTGACCTATAAAGGATGGTCCTATAGACAGTCCTACACCATACTTTTCGTCCTTAAAGAATGATACTATACACAGTCCTACACCCTACCTGTCGGCATTTAAGCATAAGTCCTGCAGACAGTCCTACACCATATCTTCAGCTCTGAATTAAATGATATAATAGTGACATACGAAAAATGTTAACATCTTCAACTGAGTTCAATGGTCACGAATTACCCTCGCTTCTTGGCAGCTTCCCCCCCCCCACTCCGCACTATCACTATAAAACATGTTAAGTAGGGGGAAGGCTAGTTGGGAAAAGGAAGCATTACATACTAGAAGTAAAATATGTATAAGAGATGGCATTTGTATGTTTTATTTATTCAACGAGTCTTGTAAACATCTCAACAAAATTAAGAATAGAAAGACCATACGCTACAAAGAAGTGACAACGAGCTTTCAATTATTCCCACTTGAAGATGTTGACATCAATAAAAACAATAAGAAATATCCCTCCTACAGCAATTTGTTAAGGAATACGTCTTTCATTATACGAACTTAACTACTTCTTTGAATAGAGCAACTAGAAACAACATTACCTTTCAATTACGACAACGGTATATTATAGCATTTAGAACTCATTTTCCGTATTATGAAATAAAACATTATCTTTTTTTAAAAGGGCTAAATTCTCTTAATTAATTTATTTTAAATTTCTAGTCCCAATCTGCTTTGACATCTGTCAATCAAAATATCCCTAAACATCATCCTTTGATTAGACAGGTGGTAAAAGCCTTCATATTAAAAATGCAAATATTTACTTTTAATCCACTTATCTTGAGAGGTACATTTTTTATCATTGAGTTTAGCACCGACTGGACTTCCCTGTTCACTTGAGCAAATATTACAATCTCAACATAATAATGATACTATCTGTTGCAACAAGCTTTGAATTTTGCGGGAAAGCTGAAACAAAGGGCGGTGTCAGTATTTAAAAAGGTGTAACTGTTGGACAGGGGATCATTTCTTCACATTGGAAAAAGATATCGCGGATTGAAAACTAACAATGAAATATATTGTATTTTCTTGTGTCACTTTTCTGATTTTGGTCCAGGCTTGTAAGTTTAAAAAAAAAAATTATTTTTGCTCGTTCATTTTTTTAAAGTAAAGACAATGTGCACGATCACAGCTAGGTTTAAAATTGATTGAACATTTTTATTCGTTCAAAGTATTTTTTTTTTTTGAGTAAACAGATCCTTACTCTTTTTCATGTTGATCCAAGTTTTTTGTATGTTCAATTTGATCATATGAGGCTGCCGAAACTAAATATTGTAAGAATTAAGACAAACAATTTATGAACTTCAGATATACCTCTTGAATCCCATTGTAATGCGTTTAGTAAGCGATTGTGTTTTAAATGTGTAATTTAAATTAAAATGTGATTAATCAATCAAAGAAAGTTTAAAAATAAAATAAATAAAACTTATCCCCATCAACCACTAGTAATTTACGTCGTATGTCTGGTGCTAAACAAAAGGGAGACAACCTTTGGAATAGTCCTGCAATTACAGAATGCGACTTAAGGCCATTTTTAAACCCTCTATATTATTTTCATTATTCTTTGTGTGTTTGTTTAAGGCGAAATCTTCCGACGGTTAACTGATACACTTCCGGTCATCCTATCGAGCTGACACTTTGCACAAAGACTTGATGCCAATGACATAACACTTTATGAAGTTTTCAGCCCCAGCCCCACTCCATACGACAAATAATATGTTTTACCTTTTTTTTCAAGACGAAGATGAAAGCAATATAATGCATGATTTCTTTTAAGAACAGTAGCCATCGCTTATTTGTACAAAAATGCACATATAGAATTTGTTCGAAAAACTTTGTTTTTAGAGTTTGTTTAATTGAAATTTCTGATATAGACACGGCAATGATTAGCGCCATTACAGTGTAAAATACAAAGGTAAAAGATGTGAAAATAAGTCAGATAAGAGAATTGATACTTTACTGTCTACAGTACATTGAAATAAGATTATGTTTTATTACCTAATGGCTAGTCATAATATTATTATTATCTTTAAAGAAATGACAATTTTTGAGTTTCTAATCCAGCGTCGCTCAGAACAAACTTCTAAACTAATAAAAGAAAAATAAAAAAAAAAAGGGGGGGGGGGTGAATACTGTTTTAGAAAAGTAGGTAATAGATATTTGTATTAAACCCCCCTTCCCCCCCCCCCCCCCCCGTGTAATTATAGTTCTAGCTCAATTCGTACTTTCAACAAGATATTCTTTACGTATCCAAATTTCTTTATTTGATAATTAAACCTAATCTCCTCCCTCAAAAATAAAACTAAAATAATGCAAAGATTGTGTACCACCATGTTTATGCAATAAATATCTTTATTTAATGTATAAATAGAACGATTATTAAAATATTCAATGTTACAGACCGTTACATTATTCTTTTTACAAAAGATTTAACATGTCAAGAGCACAGATTATGTGCGAAGCCCCATCTAACTGTTTTATTATCACCCATTCATGCATAAATATTTGTTTATTTTGAGTACGACGATAAAATATGATGCACATTTATGTTTATATATTGTTACTTTATCTTCTGATAAGATTACAAAAAACTTTAAAAAAAATAAAATGCTTATCATTAACTAACCACAAGTTGTCATAAATGTTGCCCTTAACTTGTGGGCGGCCATTGAGTCAATTAATCACTTGGATGTACAAAGTAATATTAATTTCTTCAGGTACGGCTAACCTTCCAATTTGTGGTGATGTTAATAGGACTTTGGTTTGTAACTCAACTGAATATTCTGGAACATGCAATGACTCAAAGTGCGCCTGTGCTGCTGGGTTTGAATTAACAGGTCAAGAAACTTGCAAGCGTAAGTTGTCTTTTTATTTAAGGGGAAAGAGAAAGAAAGAGCAAGAGGGAGAGAGGGAGAGAGAGAGAGAGAGAGAGAGAGAGAGAGAGAGAGAGAATGAGAGAGAGAGAGAGAAATAGAGAGAAATAGAGATAGCGACAAAGAGAGAGAGAAACACAGAAAGAAAAAGCGATCGCACTTAAAGGATAAAATAATTTTTACCTGTTTTAGATACATTTCTAATAAGTTGTCTTTTTATTTAAGGGGAAAGAGAAAGAAAGAGCAAGAGGGAGAGAGAGAGAGAGAGAGAGAGAGAGAGAGAGAGAGAGAGAGAGAGAATGAAAGAGATAGAGAGAAATAGAGAGAAATAGAGATAGCGACAAAGTGAGAGAGTAACACAGAAAGAAAAAGCGATCGCACTTAAAGGATAAAATAATTTTTACCTGTTTTAGTTACATTTCTAAAACGTTCATATCAAAGCAAAAGTCGAGTCACTACAATTTACAAACAATAATTAACTGCTGTGAGGTCAGTGTTAATGAAAACCGAAAGGAATTTTATATGGAGTTTATTAAAGCTAAAATCATTATAAAATGACTGCCGTGTCTATGACAATTTGCCACTGCTGTTGTTTCACCGGCACGATTTCAACGCCACCATTTCACCAGCGCCGTTCAACTGACGATGACAAAGAATTTATTTAATTCCAAAGTGATAATTTCAATACACAGGTAAACGTTTAAGAAGATCGAGATATTTGTGCAAGAATAAATAATTAGTTGTGGGTTTTTTTTGTTGTTGTTTGTTCCGCATAACCTCTTATGTGGATGTATTAAAATAACGAGTTAATGTTTTAGAAGTTAACAGTTTCTGTACTTTTCAGTGCCCCCAACTTTGAAAAATGCACCGGGAAAAGATCCTTCTAGACAAAGGTCAAATGGTTGGCTGGTTGATGGGAGGTTTTTGCGTGAATATTAAAAAAGCAATATTTTATGTTTTTTTTTTAAAAAATATAACCACAGTGTCGAGTACAACATTCAATTATCTAGGAACGCCACAATCTTGGTGTAACGAGAGATGTTATGACGAAGATTTGGACGTAGGTCGTCTTGTCAAGGTTACCAAAATACCTTTAAATAATTGGAACGCTATTTTGTTAATTACGTTAAAAAGGAGTACAGAAATATATAGTCTAATAAGACTGTATCACAAACTCAGTGAACATTGTCTGGTTACTTGATAGTTCGTTGACAGACATTTCACTGGCGCCACTACATTGACGAATAACTGCAAAGACAGACACTTCATCATCATCATCATCATCGTCATCATTGGCGCTACAGCCCCTGTAGGTGCCCTGGCATGCTCCACCACATCTTTCCATTCGGAGCGATATATCCATCTCCACATCGTCGATCCACCTCAGTCTTGGGCGACCGGTGAGTTGTCTGCCCCTAGGCTTCTGCCTGCATATCACTTTTGCTGCTCTACATTCCGGCATCCTTTCAACATGTCCTTCCCAGCGTAGTGTGCCTTTTTTATTATTGTGGCTATGGGTGGGTCTTTGTACAAATGGTAAAGTTCTTGGTCCTTTTCTATCAATGGGCCGTATATTTTCAGTAGGATTTTCCTCTCCCATGTGTTGAGCAGGTTCTCTGTTTTTCTGGTAATGGTCCAAGTCTCACTAGCGTACGTTACTACTGGTCTTATGATAGTGGTGTATATTGTCTTCTTTGTTCCCCTTGAGAGGTTTTTGCTTCCCGGTAGCTTTTGTAGACTGAAATAGGAACGGTTGCCTGCTGTTATCCTTTCTTTCACCGCCAACATTATGTCATTGTGCACGTTTATAGTTTCCCTTAGATATGTGAATGTAGCACTCTCTCAAATTTGTGGTTGCTAATATTGATGTTATCATCAGCATTGGAGTTTCTTGTTATTATTATATATTTTTACTTCAGTTCATTTATATCAAGACCAGCTTTGACTGAGGCAATTTCAAGTTCCATGAATGCTTTAATTATGTCATTACGGTTTCTAACCAGTCTCCTTGTCTGAGGCCCCGATTAACTAGGACCTCCCTTGAGTATTATCCCTGCACCTTGATTCTACTTTTGGAGTTGGCCATTGTCATGTGTACTCCAAGTTTTTGTAGACCGTTGTATAATTAGTTCCTGTTTACGCTATTGTATGCTGTTTTGTAATCCACATATAATTGGTGTATGTCGATGTTATATTCTCAGCATTTCTCCCGGCGACATCTTATAGCAACAATATGATCCGTTTCATGGATTGAAATTTCATCTTCACACAACTCATCAAGAGAAAACAAGTATTGACATGGACACTTCATCGACAAAGTCATAATAAAAATCAATTGAATTTATTATTTATTGGTAGAGTTAAGCAGATTCATGTTGAAATCTTTATACAAATCGAAAGCAATATCTTAACATTAGAATTAATACATTACATTTTTTGTCTTCTTGTACATCGAGATTGTGATCATAATTACTACATGACAAATAAAGGCTTTTTAAAATAACAATTTTAATAATTTCATATGAAAATCTTATTTAAATTTTTCATCCATTAGTTGAGTGATACCCAATTCTTTAATATTCAGTAAAGGTTGTTTAATTGGCTGTGCCATCCTTCAGTGGGATTGTTTAGTTTACGAAAGTCATTTGATTAAATCTTCAAATTGATTCCTGATATCCAATGGAAACGTTAATTGTGGACGCCTGTTGTCACGCACGATCTAACGAATCCACGTATCTACAAACAAATCGAACAACAGCTTAAGAATGTTTTCATTTCATTTTTAACAAATGCCGTACTAGAACGATCTCCAAACGCCTGCGATATCGTGAACTGGAAAGGTCAAGGTTATTATTGATTTTTTTTCTCTAAATGAAATGTCCAACTTAAGAGAAACAATCACTAATTCTAAGATTTTATAATTCTAAGATCCTCAACATATTCTAAAAATTGTATCGAAGACGGCTGGTAATAAGTCTGTCATAACAATCCTTGCGTTGAGTCATTGCATAAAGTCATTGCTTCAATACACGCTTAAAAGTTTGTCTTGTCTAGTTGAGAAAAATGATGTAAGCAAATAGAGGGTGGCAACAACTTTTATTCCATTGTTTGGTATCGGTGGAGTAGACAGTCCAGGAGAAGCTTTAAATGAACCTTAACTAAACCAACAATAAGCTGACTGAAATGCATCTAGATTTCATTGATAAGAAAAAAATAGTAATCGCTCTTGACCCACAGACCTACCGAAAAAAGAAGAAATTACTCCACAGAAATTGAATTTAAGTATTGACGAGCTATAACATTTTCCATAAGATGAGGTTAAAATTGTTGTAGAATTTGCCTTCCTTCTGATTCGTATGATTTTGCTGGGGAAAAATGTAATGAAAGCTTCCTGAACTGATTCTTGAGTCCTGCAGTGGATTGAAAGAGTGGTCAAAGCTTAGTAGCGTCCCATCCTATAACTTGTTTCTAAAGACCCCCCCCCCCACACACAAAAAGTGTGTAAGGGGGGGGGGGGTGGGCTCTGAAAATCTTTTTGATACATATTGAAGAGGAGAAATGCTTAAAGGTCTCAGATTGAAAGAGTGGTCAAAGCTTAGTAGCGTCCCATCCTATAACTTTTTTCTAAAGACCCCACCCTCCACACACAAAAAGTGTGTAAGGGGGGGGGGGTGGGCTCTGAAAATCTTTTTGATACATATTGAAGAGGAGAAATGCTTAAAGGTCTCTTTAAAATGGGGTAATAAACTCAAGAGATATCACATTTTCAATAGTTAAAATTGTGCGCTAGCAAAATAGACTGAACATCATAAGTTTAAAATCCGGCAATAATTCTATCTGGTCTTATGGCGTATGCTTACTAAGTTTTGCCTAGATTTATCAATAACGTAGAAACATAAATTCGTCTTGTATTTATGACAAAAATTTCTTCGTGTTTTAGTGTCAGCCCCAGTGATCACAGGAGTAGCGGACATCAATAATTTATTTCAGAAGAAGGATTACAATTTGTTATGCAGTACACATGTGATCAAACCAAATGTACTTACATTCTCATGGAGGATTAAGTAAGTGAGCTTCTTTCACAAAAGAATATTTTAGTCACAATTTACATTTTCATAAACAATTAAAAACCTATTTAAGATGTTTATATCAAATCTGAATCTGATTGAATCTTACAGAATGTTGATGAAACTAACTGAATCTGATATAATATGATGTATACTGAGATAATCAGATTGAACCTAATAGAATGTAATAGGGTCTGAAAAATCTGATTGAATCTGTTGATATTTCAGTGGTACTGTCACAAATGTGAAAGATCAAAATTACCCCATAAAGGCAGCGAAAGAATCAGACGATGGCGAATACTCTTGCACTGCATCTGTGGGCGGACAAAACGCCATAAGTGAAAAAGTCACTTTAACCTTTAAAAGTAAGTCCTTAAGTCAAAGAGATTTATATAAATAATTCATCTTCAACAATAAGACGATCAATATAAGTTATTATTATAGATATATTTTATAAATTTATGTAAATGAACGTTCTAAAATAAAAATAATGAAAAACCATTATGAAATGCAATTAATATTTAACACGTTTTTTTCAAAAAAACAACAAAAAAACAAAAAAAAAAAAAACATTTTATTTAAATCAATATAAGTTATTATTATAAAAATATTTTAAAAATTTAAGTAAATAAACGTTCTAAAATAAAAATAATGAAAAACCATTATGAAATGCAATTAATATTTAACACGTTTTTTTCAAAAAAACAACAAAAAAACAAAAAAAAAAAAAACATTTTATTTAGGGCCTCATTTTACACGAGCCGCACACAATGACATTAGTATGCCTACCAATTTCATTTGGTATGAGAGGAAATTCAAGCTAAAAAGAATGTTTCAAGCCAGCTAAAACGTATTTATGACATATTAAGAATGAAGACTTAAGAATGAGCTCTAAATATGTATATATGTATTTATCAAAGTAACTCAGCCACAGGTTTTGTTATACAAGGCAATGGTTAAAAGTTGATTTCCTCAACTCTTAAAAATTAATTAAGTGGATATCACGTGATAGCAAAATTTTTGTGATTCAATAAAGTTTTACACATTAATTTCTAGTTTTTTTATCTGTAACAGATTAAAAACAAACTACCTTTTCATTAATTCTCAATAGAATTTAAAGTAGTCCATAATCATATTTTATATTTGCTATATCATGTTTTTCCCCTACAGATGCTGTTTCAGGTCTCACTGTGTCAGTATTGGTCCTTGCAATGGTTTTCTTAACCAATTTAATAAATGCTGCTTAATATGATAGCAATCACAGGTTTGACTAAAACAAGATTGTAGTTTTTTTTCAAAATCTTAGCTGAAACACGTGATTTTTAAATCTTTTTTCATGATAAATTGTATAATTTTTCATATTTTATTTTTACAACTTAAAGATTCAAATGATTAACAGGCCAAGATGGAAATTGATAAATCACAACAACAGCAACATCTTTGTTAATATTCTCAATCAAATAAATGTTCAATTCGTTCCCATCTTTGTTAGTTCAATATAAAGATTTAATTAATCTAATCTCACATGACTTCAAGGATTATTTTTTTTAATAAAAAAAGCTGATGGTGATATTATTTATTTATAATAAATAAATTAAATACAAATTAAAAGCCTTGATGGTTTCAGCATTTTGCAAATGTATTTAATTTGTTTAACTTTTTAAATGATTTTTTGATGTTTGGTTATTGTTGGTGCTCGTGATTTTTTTTGATCGTATTTCAAACTAGCCAATATACCCGAGCTTCACTACGGTGGAGAAGGGGGTGGGTCTTAATTGATTGATTTTTAAAAAAGCGAGTATTTGTATGTATATTATTTCCATTAAATTGACTAAGTGATTGATCATAAAAAAGAAACTGCCAAATATGGTTGAAGGGATACATTGTAGGAGGTGAAGCTTTAAAGGTTAATTAAGTCATCTTTTATGTTTTGATGAATTGATTGTACACATATGTTTAGTCTTCTGTACGATGTTACCATTATAAAACTCTTGTTTACTAAATTCTACCGTTTACTGTGAATTCTTCTTTAAATTTGTAGTTGTTTATTTTCTATTTTTTTATCTTACCATGTAATATACTCTATATTATTCCTCATTTATCCCCAAATACTTTAGATTTATTACTGCGTCTAAACCCATTACTACCAACTCATCCCACCACACAGAAAATACACCAGCCCAACCTCAAGCAAACTCTATCCTATCATCTCAACTTTCTTATCAACCTCAATTTAAAAAAAAAAAAAAAAAAAAAAAAAAAAAAAAAAAAAAAAAAAAAAAAAAAAAACAACGAAAAAAAACAACCAAAGAAATGCCACCCTTATCTTCAGTTCCCATCGATCTTTCACCTTCCACTAAAACACTGACCACCCGGAAACATCTCCCAACTATCCCTTGTCCTTAACCCTAACCGGCTCCAACACTCATTGACCACTGAGCTATTAAATGAACCAAGTCTTCTCCATAAACCAAAAGTCTTCTTGTAAACAACAGAGCAAACTTAAATGTACAAATAATATATGCCACGATCTTTAGTTCGGTATTTTTCAAACATTTGGTCTCACGCTACTTCTGAGCTTTAAAAAAATGTTTTGCCTTCTTAGACAATGCAATTCTCCCAGTCCCAGTGGTAGAGTTTATATAAGACAGTCTCCATGATGATATAATAGAATATGCATTTCAATTTCGTGATTTATTTATAGACTGTGAGAGTCAGCGTTGTTGGATATAAAACTTACAATACGTGAACTATCGTTCAACTAGGCCTTCAACAAGTGCTTTTTTGTATAACTATAGTTGTACTAGGCCAGAGGTTCTCAACATGTGGGTCGCGAAACCCTTTCCCAGGGGTCGCCTATGATCATCTGAAAACCCATATTCTACAGTTATAAAGCATCAACGAAAATTAATTTTGAGGTTTGGGGTCGCCACAACATGAGGATATGTATTAAAGGGTCGCGGCATCAGAAAGTTTAAGAGCCACTGTACTAAGCCTTCAACAATTCCATTTTTTTTATTACAACAGGTTAGGGTATTTGAGAAAATACTCAGTAGGTCTAAGTGTTAAAGAAATTATAAGAGTTAACGTCTCATTTTCTAATACATGCCGGCATTTAAACAATAGTTCTAATAACAGTCCTACCCCCAACCTAGTGGCCTTTTAACAATAGGTCTACGGAAGACCTAGACCCTACCTAGACAGTCCCTCACCAAACATAGGGATCCTTATTGTTTAAGATAATAGTCTCCTCTCTTTAAAAATAAATGCAACCTATTAATGGAGATCAGTCGTCACGCATGACGCTCCCTGTGTGACAGCCTGCTTTTCACTCATTACTATTAATATAAAACATGTTGATTTTGGGATGCTACAGTTCTAATGATGATACAAGAATCGGTTACGACATGACTAGAGGTCAAATCTTTATTGTAATGATAAAAAGTTCATTTGCATCACAGATCTTTATATAACAAAAGATACCAAGAAGAAGTCAATAGTTAAATTATCTTGAAAGTTTACAATCTCATAAAATTTATCTTGGAATTTGTGAAATTGATAATACTGTGAATTTTTAAAAATTTACTGCTTTTAATCTTAGCAATTTTAACGCAGAAATAGTTTTAAAAAATTTTTTTTTTATTTTTAGCAAAAAAAAATTCATGTGAATAGATTTAAATTTAAAAAAATTATAAAAGAATGACTTCCTAGAAGTAGTCGCTGTCTTTGAAGATAAAAATGTACACAGGTTTTTCTTTTAAAAAAAATGAAATTGAAACATTCCCTTTTACGAGGCTATTAAATCTATGTTTGGGAAACAATTTAAATATAGTTTAAGATCAACTAGCTGAAATATCATGGACTTAAGTTTATACAAAGGTTTTAGACATGTGTTTTTTTTAAACCACATTCAAATTAAAACCATTTAAGAGAGATTCATCAGTTGAGAGGAGATGGCCCCAACCAAGACAAGTGGGCTTGTGCTAACAACTGCAGTGCCATCTAGGGGTTGAAAAATATTGTATGTATTTATGAACACTATAGGAATGCCTAATTCCCATTATAAAAAGCCTACAATTATGTTTCATCTACTTTTACTTTTGTACGTGTCTCCTTTCACAACACAGTTTGCTGCACATACACAACGCCTTGGATCAATTAAGTCACATTTCCTTGAGAATACTAAGCTAATGCAATCCGTGTCAACAGTATACACCTTTGCTGGTGCTTAATTTCAAATTAAAACATATAGGTTGAGATTTCAAATGTATATATGTACATCCTCTAAGTAATAAATATGGTTTCTTCTTCTTCTATATCTTAAGGGCCCACGATCAATTTATTGATCATTTTGGCTCCTATGCATGTAGATGGGATTTGCAATGTTTCTGTGCCTGGTGTTGATGAAGAAATTTAACTGATTTCCAGTGCCACTTTGTGAGGGAATCATGCACTGGGGGTTTGAAGGCTTGAGGCAATAGACACAAATGTGTCTAGTGTTTTCGCCTCAACTGTTCCTTTTGAAAGCTTGTTCCAGTCCCTTATCTTCTTGGGCAGGAATGAGCAGCTCCTATATTGGCTTTTTGCTGGTATGAGCCTGAATTGCCTGTCATGGCCTCGTCGCTGTCTATGGGGGAGAAGGACGAGTTTCTGTTTAATACTGGAACAGTAGAGCAGCCCATTATTTATCTTGTACATCATGGAGAGCCTAGATTGTCGTCGTCGTTTCTCCAATGGTGACCAGCCTAGTGTTGGCAGCATGCTGCCAACACTAGAGGTATTCCTGTGACGGTTTAGGACAAAGCGTGCTGCTCGTCTCTGGACCGCCTCCAACCTGTCAATGCTCTTCTGGGTAAATGGGTCCCAGACTGAAGATGCATAATCTAAAACCGGACGGACAAAGGCTTTATATGCTCTTTCTTTCACACAGGAGTTGCAAATCTTTAGATTTCGCTTTAAGAACCTCAGGGTCTTGTTTGATTGGTTACATACATTGTTAATATGCTCGTCCCAGCGGACCTCTCTTTGCATAGTAACACCCAGGTACTTTACGGAGGAAACTAGCTCAAGTATATGGCAGTGCATTTCGTATTGATAATGTAGAGGAGTACAACTTCTAGAGACTGGCATGTGGCAGTGTGAATATTCATGTCCCAGCTCATCTCCCACTCAGCTAACAGATTGAGATCCTGTTGTAGCTGGTCCTGGTCAGAACTGTTGGCGATCGTCCTATACACCGCTGTGTCATCTGCGAACAGTCTTGCTTGTGATGTCAGTTTCTCGGGTAGGTCATTAATATATGCTAGGAACAAACAGGGGCCCAGCACTGATCCCTGGGGGACCCCTGACTTCACATCGACAAAGGAAGAGCTTGTACCGCCCACCACTACTGCTTGGCGTCGGTGGCTGAGGAAGCTAGAGATCCATGTTTTAGTGGTGCCTTGGATCCCATATCTCTGGAGTTTGTGTTGAAGCAAACTGTGATTCACATGGTCAAATGCCTTTGCGAAGTCCATTACCAGCACGTCAGTCTGCTTGTGGGTTAAATTTAATTGTAATGTGACGTACATTTCTATGCCTCTGATAAGATTTAAACAAGCCAGGAATTTGAGATGTGACCAAATGGACATTTGTTTTTATGGTAACATATCGAAACGTCTATTTAAAAATGAAGCCAAAAAAGAACAGCTGATATAACACATACACAATAGGAAACTAATTAGTCCCAGGATTATGTTTAATGTTAAATAGGTTATTTAGATGAGCAATAAATATTTGAATATTTAAATCAATTAAGTCATCATGTTCCGAATGGGTAAAATATCAAAGAGAGTATAATTAAATCGGCGAAGTTTAAGTGAGAGATACTGCGACCGTTGGTATAGGAAAACCCCCACCCCCAAACACACGTACAATTATTATTTTAACTGAAAAATTATACAATATAATCAATGCCATTTGTAACGTAGAATTGCATGCTTTAAAAACACATTTAAATTTAATTTGTAGATTAAGATAAAGAGCTATTAAACAACAATCCGTCTCTCCCAAAACTTCGCCATTCCAACCTCTCTAAACAAGAATCTCAGGCGTTGTCTGTGTTACGTAAACGTAACGACATTGTGATCAAACGTGCCGACAAGAGTGGCGCTGGCGTAGTTTGGGACAATAATGTATACATTAAAGAGGCTGATAAACAATTAAGGGATGAAAGATTCTATAAGCCCCTCAAGAATAACCCCATCGTTCAACATAATGAAATTGTGCATCAGACAATAAAAAAAACCTCATTAACGAATCAGCACTTCCAAAATCGGCCTCTACCTTACACATTTTTGATAGTGACCTTGGCAAACCTTCTTTCTATTTGCTGCCTAAGATTCACAAAGTGGGAAACCCAGGACGACCTATTGTCTCAGCCTGCGCCTGCCCCAC